ACTTCATTGATCTCTACCACAGTCAAAACAATAAATGTAATGAGAAGAATCTTTTTATTAGTTAAATTTTGGCACCCGACAAGAAAGGAATATGCACCGAAGAAGATATCGCTATTTGATGGTTTATGCAGCCGGCCGTAAAGGGTTAAAGATATTATTGATTCTTATGTTGTACCAACAGCAGATCCACATCAAGTCAGTTTTTATTTTATTTTATTTTTTAAAATTTTCATTTTGAATAAATTTTTTTTATTAAGAATAAATATGTTGTTGATCATTATAAACGACGAGAATTTATTTCAAAATTTACCGGATCTACTGGTAAAATTTGTTTTTTTTTTTATTCTTTTAAAACTATTTAAAAAAATTCTCATTTGAATAGGTACAGCTGTAATAACAAATAAAGAAGCCTTTCTTTTCACTGATGATCATTATTTTCTTCAAACTGAAAAAGAATTAGATCAAACATGTTGGAAATTGATATATGAGAAAATGAAAGATAATTTTTCAATAATAAATTGGCTTGCAAGAGTAAATCAAATTTAATATATGACTTTTTTAATGTTATTTTATTGATAATTTAGAATTTGAATAATAATTCAATAGTTGCATGTGATCCTCAACTTGTTTCTATTTCTGAATGGAAAGAATGGGAAAGAATATTTTTACAGTATAATATATATCTTATATCTCTGGAAGTTAATTTAATTGATCTTTTATGGAATGATCAAAGACCATCATTACCTGATACATCTATTTGTATTTCGAACAATGAAATTCAATCTTCTAGTAACCCAGGTCGAGGTTTACGGAGTCTGTAGACGGTCGTGTACGGTCCGTTTTTCTCCGTATACGACCGTATTTTGCCGTATTACATGGTCACGTATTACGATCGTATATCAGCGTCACCGTATACGGAGCAAAATGGAGATTGTATACGAATGCCGTATACGATCTCAGTTTACGATCGTATTTTTCTCCGTATATCACCGTATTTCTCCGTATACGACACGGAGATATACGATCGTAATACGTGACCATGTGAATCGTCGCATTTCTCCGTATACGGTCGTTTACGACCGTGCTTGTTTGACCTGGGAAGTTTAATTTTTCAATTTAATTAAATTTCAAAAAAAACGTATATTATTATATATAAAGAAGAATCAATTAGTGAAAAACTTCATCAAATACGATTAAATATGAATAAATTTCGAGGTCCATCATTTGATTATAGATCAAATAGATGATATTATTTGTATGTATCCTTTTATTTATATTTTGAATCTTATTTATCTATATTTAAAGGGCTATTCGATTTACGTGTTGTTAATATTCAATTTAATTCAGTTTTTCTTTCTTTTGCTCTTATTGGACGTGACTATGTCAAGTAAGTTTATTTTTATTTTTTCCTCATAAGATTATTTTCTCTTAGACTTTTCATTGATTTAAATAATTTATCGAAATCAATTCAAGATTATCTTCAATTTGAAAATATTTTGGTATATCCTTATGATTCATTTTATAATGAATTTTAAAAAATGGTTCAATCTATTGCTTATAATGAAAAATTTTGTGTAAGTAATTAAATATTTAAAGAAAGATTTGAATTAATTATTCATACAGGTATCATCAACATGTAATTATGCTATACAAATATTAATATCTGAGGTAAATTTAAAAAAAAATTAATAAAAAAAAAATTTCTTTATTTTTTAGAAACAATTTACCCATGTCGCCTCTTTTTTACCAACTGCGTCGCAGTTATGCGCACTGCGATCAATGCGTCGCAGTTGCGCGTAACTGCGAAATTTTTATCGCAACTGCGCATAACTGCGGCGCATTGATCGCAGTGAAAATCTCTACCAGAAACTACGGTTACTGCGACGCAGACCAGCGTAACTGCGTCGCAGTAATCGCATCGTACAATCCGCTGTAACTAGCGCCGACCAATCATAAAACACTCCTCCTTATTTGTAATTGGCTACACTCCAGCAGTAAAACTTAGCCAGAGAAAGACTGTATAAAGGGCAGTGTCCATAACACTTCAGCTCATAAGTCATTCTACCACGAAAGGTAGAATATATAATTCACAAATAATTTTTCCATTGTTTTTTATTTTTCTAATTTTTTTTATTTTTCTTATTTTTTTTTATTTTAATTTTTTAATTTTTCTTATTTTTTCTAGATATTAATTTTTTATTGTTCTTATTTGTTTTTAATTTTAATTTTTTAATTTTTCTTAATTTTTCTAGATTTTAGTTTTTCTTAATTTTTCTAGATATTAATTTTTTATTTTTCTTAATTTTAATTAATTTTAATTTTTTTTCTAATTTTTCTGANATACGGTAAGCTCGTAGCTTTTCACAACTATTGTGCGGATAAAACATGATGTTGTCCGGGTCAATCCAGGGTTATCTAGGATCCTCTCTTATATGACCCGAACAATAGTATGTTTTATCCTTACAATAGGACTGTATCAAAATGGGGTACCAAGTCGGTTGCTCACGCCCATATATATATATACTCAGTTGAATATGGATATAATCTGACACAAGGCAATTTCCTATCAGTCTTCAAGTATGAATATGTGAAAAGTTAAACATAAAAAAAAATATTCATTTGTACCTCATTATATAAGTGTTTTTGCTTGTTCTCTCAAAAAGACAACAATATGATAAATGTTCAATCTTTTCTTTTTCTTTTGTTTTCTCTCTCTTGTATGATTACATATGAATTTGCATGTCACTGAATGAGTAATACAGAAAGCTATATTTGTATAAATTTATTATATTTTGCTGACGTATTTTTTTTAATTTTATGTTTATTTTAGAATACTCTGCTTTTATTACTTTTAAAGAGTAAAAATAGCAACGAAATGAAGAAAAAACCTGCTTTTGCCCTCTCCATTTTAGAATGAAGATTTAACTCAACATATTTTTGTTCAAAGCTGAGTTTTTGACTATGAGTCATAAGACTTGTAAATGGTCACGCACTCTGTTATCAAAAAACGATGATAATCGCAATAGCTCAATACTCTTTTATTCTTTGAGGGTAGGTGTCGTTGTGTGAGTGTGGGTTTGCATAGAAGACGTATAGGCACACCCTCGTCAACTAAATAGCGAATAGTGGCTATTTTTTTGATATTTGAGTAAGGCGACATATTTAATTTTTGACATTTTGCTTTGGACAATATTAGAGATTATCAGTTATCCACGTGTACAATAATTGTTTTCTATTTAGGGTTTCCAAATCCATCTCGAATGTTGTAGAATAATGAATAGATAATAGAAATTCATGTCAACATAGATTGAACATGTCTCATTAATAATGCCGAAAGAAAATTAATCGAATTATAAAATTTGTGTTGATCAGCATTCATAGAACTATATTCTTGGAGTAAATTTATAATTTAAATTAATATTGATGGAATAGCATGTTACAGTAAATGGAGCCATCATCATTCCAATAACAGTCGACATTAAAACAAATAGTACGTTGAAAACTTATCATCCCGATAACATAGAGTAGAGCCCTGCAGGGTAAGGTTAACCTGCCCTACCCGCCCTGCCCTGCCAGAGCAGGGCAGGGCAGGGCCAAGTTAAAAAAAATTACAGGACAGGTTACAGGGCACGAGTATCGTAACCTGCTAACCTGAGATTAATTTTGCTGACTAGATACTGTCAACATCTTTTCTTAAGCTTTAACGTAAGAAGTTAAAATTGAAAGTGAGAATGCCAATGAAAGTGAACTGAAAATCAATTTAGATGGGCCGCAATGATATTCAACAGAAATAGATCAATAACTCATCTATTCTTTATGTATGTAGCTATTCAAATATACATTTAATTTCCTAATTGTGAGTTTTAGGTCTTCCTTTTATCCAGTATCATTATTGGTGTTACCAATAAGGCACCAAAAAGAAAGAAAAAAGATTGAATTTTGCACCATGATATTATGAAAGAATTTGCAGATGTGGAGGAAAATTCTGATGAACTTGATCGCTATATTAACACCAAGCTTTCATTTTCAAATGATGATATATTGTTAGGATGGTGGAACAAGCATTCTTTAATATTTTCACAACGCTTTATTGGCGAAATCTTTAAAAACTATTCAGCATAAATGTTCTTGATTTTTAAGTGGAGAGTGAGAGATAAAATCGCTCAATAGCATAGAGAGTGTGAAGATTTTAGTATCAATAACACCTAGACAATTAGATAAGTCTTAGATGATCTTAATAAATAATCTCTTATTTGGAGTTCCTGCAACTTCACCAATATCTGAACGTATTTTTAGTTACTCAGGTTAAACTTTAGAAAAAAGAAGACAGTCATTAAAGTCCGATGTTGTTGATGATATTTTGATGATTAGAAATTTTCGATATATATAATCTTATTTGTTTTTGCTTTACGACTGAAAATAATTGAATGAAATTGTATAATAAATTAATAGGAGCTTTTGAATAATTTTTTAGTTCCAAGGATGATAGGGCAGGACAGGGCAGGGTACGCGAAAAATTCTACAGGGCAGGGTAGGACCAGGTTACGGAAATAGCAGCAGGGCAGGTTACAGATTAACAAAAATGTGAGCCTTGCAGCCCTCTATATGTAATACTGGCTAGAGAAAAATACCGAATGATTCTGGTGATTGTTATTCCATTTGTTTGATAGAAGTAATAAAACCGTGTTGTGCACTAGGAAAATCTTCAAGACATTATGTCACATATGTTCATGCGGATAACAATGTGTTTTTTGTTGAATAATAATGTTTAATGAATTTTGAAATTTCCATTGATTGAAGAAGATTTTCGCGTCCAACTAATCTTTAAGTTTTATCTTTCAAACTTGTAGTAATGCTGTTGGTGTTGCTATTTGAAGTGACTTGAATTTCTCTTTTCAGCAATAACGGGTACAAACTGTATTTCTATAATTTGTTGACAGTACAATTTGTGTTCTTTTTATATTGATACATTTTAATTTTTTAATTTTGTCTTCTATATTAATCGTTGCCACAATACTTAATCGATGCTATGAATCCTTCCTTTTTTATTGTATTCAACAGAATGATGGAACGAAGATGAATCAACAACAATTGCTATTCATATCGACAGTTTTTTTAGTCTAATGATTCTCAGTAATACATATAAATTGGGTTTAATACAAAATTCTCATATTTTGCCTATTCCTTTTAATGCAGTTGTTCTTTAAAGAGATCTGTATAATCATTTCTCAGAAAAACACGAATATCGAATATTCCATTTTTCTCACAAACTTAGATATGTGTTAAGAACCGCTGATGATTTTTCAATATACAAAATATAGAAATTTTTCATAGAAAAAATTACTTAGTCAACATCGTACGTATGTCTAATTACATTCATTTCTAAAATTACAATACCACAGATGAGTAGATTCAAGCCCTGATCATATCTTTAAAATATGCAGATTCCGTCAGTTTATATCTGCAATACTGCCGGTATAGCGTACAATGTGTTGGACAGACAAACAAAGTCATACTGCTGGTTTTTTCGATTCGTATTGTTTTGGAATACATATTTTGTAAAATATTGAAATATTACTTCTTTGGGCTCATGCCACTCCGATACATACAATATGGAATCAAATAGAGTATGAGTGGGCGTGATTGCTGACTTTATATGTCCACACACACGGTGCCTTTCTCACCTTTACCTACTGATATTGGTTTTCTGATGTATATTCGGTATTATGAAGATTCAAATTGCGAATCTCCTATTGTCGAAGTTCCATAGAATCTCAACAACGTTTGAACAATGTCTACTATGAAGTACTCGTCTTGTCTTCAATATAAAATTCATTTTTTTTCAATACATATCGATTATCAATTTTTTAAGTTTTTTTCTAAATCATTTGCATCGAAATATTTGCTTTAGTTTAAAAAATACGTAAAGAGCAAGACGAGTATTATAGTATAACAGATATGTCATTTGTTTTCAGTTAAAGATTACAAAACGCATACTGTTGACACAAGAGAATAGAAAGAAAAAACATCAATTAACCTTGCAATGTGCCATCTTGCCAATTTGTGTAGCATGTATGGGATTTTTGTTATTTGTCTCCGTTCTCTTTCGATGTGCCTCTTCCTTAGACCGAAAACGCCTTATCTATTCATCGACATACTTGAGAGACTGATCTACTTTTTTGTAGGATGGATGCATATATATATATATAGGATGCTTTCTTTGCTTTTTGGAGGGTGAGTGTATTTTTCTTTTGGAAGAAGAGAAAAAATCGAGACACCTAGTCGAAAAGAATCCAGAATTAATATCAAAAACATTATTTTGATTTTGACAAGACATCAGTAAATGTTCAAAGTCGAATGATAGCAGCGAATCTCTGTTGTTACTTTATTTGAGCGGAGATAAGCATGCGTTATGTGTCTGAAACACATGATACTGATTGAAAATTATTTTAGATTCTTGATAGAGCTGGTAAAAGCGAGCAGATAGTGCTTAATTTCAAGAATAACTATTAATTAGAGAAATAGGTAATGTTCT